ATATATATATATATATATATATATAATATATATATATATATATATATATATATATATATATATATATATATGCACGAATCTTATCTATATTTCTTATGTTTTTCTTACTTGAGAAGAAAGTTAAAAAACTGAGTGTAAAGTTCACTTTAAAGCACTATTCTGGCCTGACACTTAGAGATGCCTTTCACTGACCTTGTACTCTGCCTTTGAAAAAGTTGACAAGTGAATACAATGATGATTGATGAAGATTAAGCCACCCAAGAGGTGGCATGGCCATGAATAGCCCGTAAAAAAAATACAATGTTGCCGGAGTAGGTAAATTGGCGGGAGAAGGCATAGTCAACATTTGTCTCTTTCAAGGTGTCTCGATTGCTGTCTGGTGAGTTCATATTGACAGTTTTCTTGCTCTTTATATATATATATATATATATATATATATATATATATATATATATATATATATATATATATATATATATATATATATATATATATTATATAGATAATAATAATATTCAATAATATTATAGTATATTATTAACTCAGTCTTCTGGCTGGTGTTGTTAGGAGTCGCGTTATTATCATTAACGACTTGTTGATGATTGATATTGAGAGAGAGACAGAGAGAGAGAGAGAGAGAGAGAGAGACAGAGACAGAGAGAGAGAGAGAGAGAGAGAGAGAGAGAGAGAGAGAGAGAGAGAGAGAGAGAGAGAGAGAGAGAGAGAGAGAGAGAGAGAGAGAGAGAGAGAGAGAGAGAGAGAGACTAAATGAGATAAAGAGAAAGAGGAGAAGCGAAGGAGACACAGAAGACATTGAGCTGAGAATGACGAAAGACTTACCAAGAGAGAAGAATGAGGCAGTGTGAGGAAATATTGAGAAATACAGACATACGCACGCAAGGTAATTCTTAGGGGTAAGACAAGGTGACCCTCTCTTAAGCAAGGTTCTAGAATATATATCTCTCTCTTAAGCAAGGTTCTAGAATCTCTCTCTCTCTTAAGCAAGGTTCTAGAATATCTCTCTCTCTCTCTCTCTCTCTCTCTCTCTCTCTCTCTCTCTCTCTCTCTCTCTCTCTCTCTCTCTCTCTCTCTCTCTCTCTCTCTCTCTCTCTCTTTATCCATCCTTTTTTTACATTTTATAGGGGAAAGGAGAGTCCACTCAGGACCATACCCTTCCACACAGTGGATCCTAACTGGCCCATACCTACTACTACCATATTACCACCCTGTAATGACCAAACTACACACCAGAAGATGAGCAGACGACGACGTTTCGGTCCGTGCTGGACCATTATCAAGTCGAGTGGGGTCCTAGAACCCCATATGTCCATTCTGCAGTTATTCCCTACCCACACACACACACACACACACACACACACACACACACACACACACACACACACACACACACACACACACACACAGCAGCGTACTCTACACTGGCAAAAGTTAGAACATCATTCAGAAACCTAAGTAAGGAGGCATTTAGGGCGCTTTACACTGCCTACGTAAGGCCAGTCTTAGAGTATGCCGCCTCATCATGGAGTCCCCATCTGAAGAAGCATATAATGAAACTGGAAAAGGTTCAGAGGTTTGCAACGAGACTCGTCCCAGAGCTACGAGGGATGGGGTATGAAGAGCGCCTGAGGGAACTGTGCCTTACGACACTAGAAAGAAGAAGGGAGAGGGGGGACATGATAGGAACGTATAAGATACTCAGAGGAATTGACAGAGTGGACATAGACGAAATGTTCACACGGAATAGTAACAGAACGAGAGGACATGGATGGAAGCTTCAAACTCAGATGAGTCACAGAGATGTTAGGAAGTTTTCTTTTAGCGTGAGAGTAGTGGGGAAATGGAATGCACTTCAGGAACAGGTTGTGGAAGCAAATACTATTCATAATTTTAAAACCAGGTATGATAGGGAAATGGGACAGGAGTCATTGCTGTAAACAACCGATGCTCGAAAGGCGGGATCCAAGAGTCAATGCTCGATCCTGCAAGCACATATAGGTGAGTACATATAGGTGAGTACACACACCTGTACGTGTTCCCCTAACAGTCGATGAGTTACGGATCCTCGTCCACCTGATCCACTAACATAGGATTCGCACTACAACATGGCAAGGATGTTGTAGGATCTCCTTCAGAAGGGTCTTAGACATCCCGTGATACCATTTGAGACAGCAGCTTGCTGCCCAAAAGCATGTTTTGTAGCATTCAATACTATTTATGCATATTCGTGTGTTTTCCTTGTGTGTATTGGTGAGTAGTTGTATATAGGTGTTTGTATATGAGGGGTGAGTTTATATATATATATATATATATATATATATATATATATATATATATATATATATATATATATATATATATATATATATATATATACACATTTGTGTACATATGAGTGCCGACATGCGTATGGTTATGTATATGAGTATGTGCCGATGATATAATGGTCCCTGAGCGTGTGCATATTTGTGTGTAGATGCCGTGGTTGCAGTGTGTGTGTGTGTGTGTGTGTGTGTGTGTGTGTGTGTGTGTGTGTGTGTGTGTGTGTGTGTGTGTGTGTGTGTGTGTGTGTGTGTGTGTGTGAGCGAGTGTGCACGCGCGTGTCAGAGTTGGAATCGCCTGCGTCAGAGCGAGTCAAAACACGCATTGTTTTCTTTATACAACCTGTTTGTTCGTGCGTGTGTTTATGTGTGTGTGTGTGTGTGTGTGAGTGTGAGTGTGTGTGTGTGTGTGTGTGTGTGTGTGTGTGTGTGTGTGTGTGTGTGTGTGTGTGTGTTGTTGTTGTTCTAGGTGCCAGGACGCCCCCCCCCCAAGTGCCAGAAGTACACCAGGCTCATGCCCAGAGCACCCCGGAGGCCACACCGACAATACCCCGGAGGCCACACCAAGTACCCACAATACCCCGGAGGCCACACCAAGTACCCACAATACCCCGGAGGGCACCCCAAGTACCCACAATACCCCGGAGGCCACACCAAGTACCCACAATACCCCGGAGGCCACACCAGGTACCCACAATACCCCGGAGGCCACACCAGGTACCCACAATACCCCGGAGGCCACACCAAGAACCCACAATACCCCGGAGGCCACACCAAGTACCCACAATACCCCGGAGGCCACACCAAGTACCCACAATACCCCGGAGGCCACACCAGGTACCCACAATACCCCGGAGGCCACACCAAGTACCCACAATACCCCGGAGGGCACACCAAGTACCCACAATACCCTGGAGGCCACACCAAGTACCCACAATACCCCGGAGGGCACACCAAGTACCCACAATACCCCGGAGGGCACACCAAGTACCCACAATACCCCGGAGGCCACACCAGGTACCCACAATACCCCGGAGGGCACACCAAGTACCCACAATACCCCGGAGGCCACACAAGTACCCACAATACCCCGGAGGGCACACCAAGTACCCACAATACCCCGGAGGGCACACCAAGTACCCACAATACCCCGGAGGCCACACCAAGTACCCACAATACCCCGGAGGCCACACCAAGTACCCACAATACCCCGGAGGGCACACCAAGTACCCACAATACCCCGGAGGGCACACCAAGTACCCACAATACCCCGGAGGCCACACCAAGTACCCACAATACCCCGGAGGCCACACCAGGTACCCACAATACCCCGGAGGCCACACCAGGTACCCACAATACCCCGGAGGCCACACCAAGTACCCACAATACCCCGGAGGCCACACCAGGTACCCACAATACCCCGGAGGCCACACCAAGTACCCACAATACCCCGGAGGCCACACCAGGTACCCACAATACCCTGGAGGCCACACCAGGTACCCACAATACCCCGGAGGCCACACCAGGTACCCACAATACCCCGGAGGGCACACCAAGTACCCACAATACCCCGGAGGCCACACCAAGTACCCACAATACCCCGGAGGCCACATCAAGTACCCACAATACCCCGGAGGGCACCCCAAGTACCCACCAGGGTCTACCAAATCCCAGCAACTCTCGGACCAAGCCGACGTCGGACACCGCGTCCCAACCTGAAGATCCAACCGGAACACGTTAAAAATCTACCAACTTCCTCTCTATCCACCCCATGGGGGATAGAGAGGGCCAGGAGTCGTCCATTTTGGGCCGTTGAGGAGGAGGAGTCCCTTCCATATATATATATATATACATATATGACAATGTCAGACCACGGAGGAAAAATGAAACAGGAAATTTCCTTAAGTACTTTCGTATATTAAATACATCTTCAGAAGGTCTTCAGAAGGACCTTCTGAAGATGTATTTAATATACGAAAGTACTTAAGGAAATTTCCTGTTTCATTTTTCCTCCGTGGTCTGACATTGTCATATTCTTAATCACGTGTTTATTTTCGTGATATACACACATATATACATATATATATATATATACCTTCGTCAGGTCGTTGACTTGCAATAAGTGACCCTCGTACACCAGTGGTGACCTTTTCTCAATCTGATTTCCCTTTTCTCCCCGTGACCCTCTGTTTCCCTTCCGTTACGTACTCCCTTAACCATGTCAGAGCTTTCTCACTCACACCAGCGAGGGTGTCGGAGCTTGTATAAGGTGATCGTGCAAGGGGGGGCAAGGTGTAGAAAGCTCTCTGGGAATCGAGGGAGATGCAGTCTCCTCTTCACCGAGTTAATGTGGGGTGATTTTCATATATATATGTATTTAGTTCAGGTTTTATGGGGTTTGAAAACATTTTAAAAAAAGAGTATACTTGGTAAAACATTGATCTATTTGTAACATTGACCTCAATTAGTCTCACGTTGCATACGTCAAGTGAGTCTTTGCGTACTGCAATAGTAACTAGTCCTATTGGAATAGTAGTCAGACCTATTTAAACAGCAGTCAGACCTATTTGATCAGTACCTAGGCCTATCTGAAGAAGACCATTAGGCTAAACCTCAACTACTCTTTGACAATAGCCATAACCAACATATTTCACTCCGGAGAAGTTCCAGGTTTGTGAACTGCTGCCGTCCGTCTGCCCTCAACAGACAGACAGACAGACAGACAGACAGACAGACAGACAGACAGACAGACAGACATTCTTTATATAGATTAGGGAGCAACCGGCGTTGCCAGGGATCTGTCTGTCTCCCATATATCCATGTATTCAAGCATATATCTTTCTGTCCATCTGTCTATCAGTCCATCTATCCGTCTGTGCATCTATCCATCCATCTATCATTCATCTATCCATTCAACTATCTATTCGTTTATTCATCTATTAACTATTTATATATCCATTCATCTATCCATCCACCTATCCATCAATCTATCTATCCATCAATATATTCATCTATCCATCCACCATCTGACCATCCATCTATCTATTTATCCACCTATCTTTTTTGGTCACTGTAATTAACTTCCCACTCAAGAAAATCATGGAAAAAAAAACAAAAAAAAGTTCGCGGTAAACTCTACGTTTCCCACACCACTAATTTCACTTCTCGGCCTCATTTCAGACTTCATGAAAACTGCACGTGTGAGGCAAGGGTTCGAGGTTCGATATTTCTTAAACCATTTAAAACTTAAGCCTACCCCTAACAAACCTATGTCCGTCCCTTACACCAGACCCATCATCACTGAAAATTTGGGCGAGGTTAGACACTAGGGTCTCTTCCCTGGAAACACAAACCGAAACTGTCTCTATTTTCCGCTTGTAACAACTTGTAATAAAGTTGTTACATCTTGGCTTAACGTGTTTATGACGTATTGGAACGTTGTTACAACTTGATATATTGGTTGTTATAACTGGTTAGGTGGTGTTAAAACTTGTTCGAACGTTGTACCAACGTCGTAGTTTCGGTGTGTGTTTGGAGGGTTCCGCCTTCGGGGGAAGTTCCAGGGGGGAAAAATTAAGAGAAAATTTCCTGCTTGTAATAATTTGCCCGTACTCCCATAAACCAGACGATCCTGCAACATATATAAACAAAGGTATATATTTCGTTCCACTCTGGAACATCTTCAGGTAAGGCATGAATATTAAGATGGAGGTGCCCAGGTAGTCAGCTCTCACGTGAAAAGCTGCTGATCCCCATCTTTCTGTGTCCTTGTAACCTATCCTCCCCCCTTCCTTTCCCCTTATCCCTTCCTTCCCTCATCCCCCCCCCTCTCTCTCTCAACATGCCAGCAACCCGACACCTACGACAGAGGGAAGAGGGGGGAAGGGGGAGATATTGGGGGAAGGTGACCTCTGTGCCTCATCTGGCGTTGGGTAAGTTTGAGATCTTGACAACTGCATAACCCTTAAGCCATTGTGTAGGTGTCTTGTGTGTGACACCGTCGCCCCGTCGTGTTTCCACATCTCCCTGGAGGCGGCCCTTGTCTGGAGGCCCTTCACAGTGAACATTTCTGCAGAAGCTGAGAGCTCCTTCCTGTAGATGTAACTCCCATGTCAGACGAATCGCGCTAGGAAAGTTTGCAGAAGGCGAACTTGTTGGCTTTGGGGGTGTTGAAGGGGCGCTGGAAGACAAACTTGTTGGTTTTGAGGTGTTGAAGGGGCGCTGGAAGACAAACTTGTTGGTTTTGGGGGTGTTGAAGGGGCGCTGGAAGACAAACTTGTTGGTTTTGGGGGTGTTGAAGGGGCGCTGGAAGACAAACTTGTTGGTTTTGAGGTGTTGAAGGGGCGCTGGAAGACAAACTTGTTGGTTTTGGGGGTGTTGAAGGGGCGCTGGAAGACAAACTTGTTGGTTTTGAGGTGTTGAAGGGGCGCTGGAAGACAAACTTGTTGGTTTTGAGGTGTTGAAGGGGCGCTGGAAGACAAACTTGTTGGTTTTGGGGTGTTGAAGGAGCGCTGGAAGACAAACTTGTTGGTTTTGGGGTGTTGAAGGGTCGCTGGAAGACAAACTTGTTGGTTTTGAGGTGTTGAAGGGTCGCTGGAAGACAAACTTGTTGGTTTTGAGGTGTTGAAGGGGCGCTGGAAGACAAACTTGTTGGTTTTGAGGTGTTGAAGGGGCGCTGGAAGACAAACTTGTTGGTTTTGAGGTGTTGAAGGGGCGCTGGAAGACAAACTTGTTGGTTTTGAGGTGTTGAAGGGTCGCTGGAAAAGTGTATAGTAACTGAAACCTGATCTTCCCTTCGGCTAAAGAATATACCCCGAGTAAGAGCGACGTAGAGAATAGTCAACAGTCAGTCACCTCTAAGAATGCCAGTCTGGCTTGTGGATGAAAGGTTTAGAAGGAAACTGTCACATCGAGATCAACTGTCGACGCTGAACGGAGTTCCCGACCAACTCGGAAAGGAACCTCTTGCATACACGACTGACCAAGAAGCATTCAAGAAGTTGGTCCAATCCCCCCAGAAGGATTTAAGAAGGTCTCACGTGTTTGAGAAGGATTCAAGAAGTTGGCCAAGTCTCCGGCCGTTCAAAAGGGCGTTCTTGTCTCCGGAAAAGGCCCCCAGGAGGCTATATACTCTCTGACCAGGAGAGGTCGACGTAGCCAAGCTTGAGAATGGCGGCGGGACCGCATTGACGGGAGTGGGACAACCTCTGAGAGGCTGTCAAGGGCGCTTGAAAAGCGCCCTTGACAGGCAGCGCTCAGTCTGATGCCTCGATGCAACATTGGACGACTTATACTGCCTTCTTGGACGACCTACACTGCCCCCTTGGTCGACCTACACTGCCTCTAGGACGATCTATACTGTCCCCTTGGACGACCTACACTGCCTCCTGGTCGACCTACACTGCCTCTAGGACGATCTATACTGTCCCCTTGGACGATCTACACTGCCCACTTGGTCGACCTACACTGCCTCCTTGGACGACCTACACTACCCCCTGGACGACCTACACTACCCCCTTTGACGACCTACACTGCCCCCTTGAACGACCTACACTACTCCCTTGGACGACCTACACTACCCCCTTGGACGACCTACACTACCCCCTTGAACGACCTACACTACCCCCTTGAACGACCTACACTACCCCCTTGAACGACCTACACTACCCCTTTGAACGACCTACACTAACCCCTTGAACGACCTACACTGCCCCTTGGACGACCTACACTGCCCCTTGGACGACCTACACTGCCCCTTGGACGACCTACACTACCCCTTGGACGACCTACACTGCCCCTTGGACGACCTACACTGCCCCTTGGACGACCTACACTACCCCCTTGGACGACCTACACTGCCCCTTGGACGACCTACACTGCCCATTAGACGACCTACACTGCCCCTTGGACGACCTACACTGCCCCCTTGGACGACCTACACTGCCCCTTGGACGACCTACACTGCCCCTTGGACGACCTACACTGCCCCTTGGACGACCTACACTACCCCCTTGGACGAAGGCAGAAAAAGAAACAGAAGAGAATGGGATAGATAAGAAAGAGGATGAAAGAGATAAGGACAAGAGGGACTAGGATAAGTAAACAGGAACAAAACAAAAGTCACGTATACGGAGAATGAGAGAGACCAAAAATGCGAACACAGGAAGCAGAAACAAAAGGACAAAATTTTGACATTCGAAAAAAACAGTTACGAAAGAGATAAATGGAGAATAGGAGAGGAAGAAAAGTGGTAAGTTGATAAGTGTATATATATGCTTTTACTCCAGGTGAAGCCGAGGGAGGAGGAGAAAGGCGAAGATTAGAACAGAAAGAGAGAGAAAAATACAGAGAAATAAAAATAAAGCGAGAGAAAATCTGAAGAACGGAAGACAAAGAGGGAGAGAGAGAGAAAGAGAGAGAGAGAGAGAGAGAGAGAGAGAGAGAGAGAGAGAGAGAGAGACAGACAGACAGACAGACAGACAGACAGACAGACAGACAGACAGACAGACAGACAGACAGAGAGAGAGACATACAGACAGACAGACAGACAGACAGACAGACAGACAGACAGACAGACAGACAGACAGAGAAATATATATAATTACCAAATAGTAAATCGCAAAAGAATTTATAAATTAGAGAAAACGAGACACAGTAAGAGAGAAAGGGGAGACTGGTGAATTATTAGGCCATCATTTTAATGTGAAATAAGATACTGAATCACCTCGTTAGACCCGGACG